TTACAAAAAATCTGAATGGCAGCATGATAGAAGTCAACATTATTTTTTTAAAGCTTGAGAGAATGAAGTGTATTAATCTGGCCTTAAGCAGAATAAAGTTGGCATCATGGGTGTAGAGGGTGTGTGTCATTTCAGAGGATGGGGGTGTCACAAAGTGACTCAATCCAGGTAGCCCCACAGGAGGGCATCCAGACTGAGGTCCCCCACGATGCTACCAGAGGTAGTTATTTATTTGATTTCTCTAGGGCAGGGGTAGGGAACCTTGGCTCTTTTATGACTTGTGGACTTCAATACCCAGAATTCCTGAACAGCCATGCTGACTCAGGAATTCTGGGAGTTAAAGTCCAGAAGTCATAAAAGAATTAAGATTCCCTACCCCTGCTCTAGGAGCTCCTCTCAACAAGTGTTCCTTTTCAGTCCTGGGCCCCAAATCCCTGGCATGGGACCAGAAATGAGGGGCATATGACCGAGTCATGACCAGGCCCAGTCTGTAAGGCAGGGGTGTCAAACTCAATTTCATTGAGGGCCGCATCAGCATTGTGGTTGCCCTCGGGGCAGGTGGGTGTGGGTGGGTGTGGCCAGGGTGAGTGCGGCCTACTGGGTGGGCATGGACAGAGTGGGTGTGGCCTACTTGGTAGGCGTGGCCAGCTCTACATCGTTTGCGTCAAGGCTGCCTGTGGAGGCCTGGGCAGGAGTGGGATGGATCTGAGGGTCTCTGGCAGAAGGGGGTGGGACCAGAGCAAGTGCCAAGGCATGGTCCACTGGAGGAGCCTCACTGTTCCTCTCAGGCCATGCGGGGGCGGGCTGGATGGTGGCGCGGCACTAAGCCGTTTCTGGACGGCCTTGTGGAGCTAAGACTGAATACGTTTCAGGATAGATGGCCACCACAAAATTGTATATTGGCTCCCGGTTGGCCTGGGCCAGGGCCAAGGAAGCGGGGGCCGTTCCCTCACTGTTTCCAGGATGGCTTCGCGGGCCACATGAAACCACTTCACGGGCTGCATCCGGCCCCCGGGCCTTGTGTTTGACATGTCTGCTGTAAGGGAAGCCTCCAGCCCATTTTCAAAGGCAGATTCCACTTGCAATGAGCTACAATTCCCAGCTGCACAGCTGCAGCGACCCTCCTATCCAAGGTGATCCCAGGGCACCAGCTCCAAGGGCTGGTTTGGGCCTCTCAGGGTCCCCCCCTCCACACCAAGGACGCAGCAGCAGCAGCTGGAAGTGCCCTTTCCCCTCCCCCAAGAGGCAATGTCTGGAAGGGAAGCTTCTCTGCTGCAGCTCCCGCAGTGGGGCCCATCAGGCTCACCCCAAGGAGGTGGCCTGGCAAAGGCCTGTTGGGGGCAGAGGGGTGGCCACTCTTTATTGCTGGGATATTATAACCAACGGTAAGGAGAAGAGTGATGGTTCCAGTTCATTTGTTCTTGCATGCAAATATTGGTTGGTGTTTGTTGGCTTCTTCGGGTGGAGATTGTTGCACTGTCAGATGTCAGCTGGTTTAGATCAGATGGGGGATGTTCATTGTTCATAAATGTTGTGATCCAGATTTTTTCTGGTAAGCTGCCATGAGTCTGAACGAGTGGGAGGGTGATAACCAACCAATGGCAGAGTTGAGTCCTGCCCAAACTACCAGAGCCATCTGCACAAGAGCCCTCCTGTCAGACAGCAGCCGGGATCCCACTCGAGTCTGGGGGCCGCTCTCCGGTGCCTCGGGCCTCTCTCACTCGGCGCCTTCCCTTCGGTGGCCAACTGGGAGGGCATGAAAAGAGCCTCCCGGAAGCCCTTGGAAGGAAGCCGTCCCCAGGCAAAGGTCCGCAGCTGCTGCTCCTGCCCCGGTTCAGAGTCCACGGGGACCCTTCGGCCCTGGAGACTCCAGGAGGTCCGAAGCTCCTTCCTTATCCCCCACTCCCGCTTCCATCTCCTGCTAGGACAGGGCCGAGGCGGTTCGGCCGCCCAAGCCAGACCAAAAAGGGTTTCCCCCAAGAGCCTCTTGTCCCGGCTCTATAACTGGTCAGATCGCCCGGCCAGGGCAGCCTTCTGCTTCCCGAAAGAGCGCGTCAGGAACCGCAGCGCGGGTGAAGCGTCTTCCTTCCAGCCCGACTCGGCGCTTTGCACGTGCTCGGAGGCGCCTTCCTTCCGGGGCCCGCTCGATCGCGCGCAGCCCACTCCGGCGGCCGCCCCTGGCCGGGGGAGGCGGGGCGCGTGACGCGCCCTCGAGGAGCCCGCCCTCTTCCGACGGATCCGGAGTGGCTCCGCTTGGCCGTCGCCCGCCGTGCCTGGTCGCGCCCAGCCCAGTTTCCGGATGGACCCACCGGTGAAGTCGGGGCCACTCCTGCTCCAGCAGCCGCCGGGGTTGCTCCTGGGGGCCAAGGTAGCCGCGCGAGGCGGGGATCTCCGGTCGGGGGTTCCGGGCTCCTGCGCCCCTTCCTCGTCGCCTCGCCCCCTCCCCTTCCCGTGCAGCCAGGCGGGAGGAGCGGGCGGTCCCTTCCCCGCCTTGCCCGGCAGCCGCCTCCGTTGCCTTCTCTTTCGCTCCCGCCGCGCGGGGGAAGCGCTCCCCCAAAGTGCGCTCGGCGCGGCGACGGGACCGCCTCCTTTGGTCGGGAGGCTCCCCTGCTGGGCAGAGCCGGAGGGCCGTCGCGCTGGCCCGAGCGGAGTCCCGGTGCGCCGCGTGGGAAGCCCTGCCGCCGCCGCCGCCGCGCGCCCCGTCCCTTCCTCCTCCCTGGACGAGGCTCCCCACCGCTCGGAGAGTGGCCCGGGCAGGACCCCTTCCGCTCTCGGGGAGGAAGCCGGGCGGGCTCGCACTTCCTGGTTGTTGGACCGCGGGGCAGACGGAGCCAGGCTTTCGGTGCGCG